TACATTTTAACATTTTTAGAAGGTCTCTTTCTATAAGTCTATAATATATAACTAAACTATTGTTGTATGTAAAGTAATTAAGGTTTTTAAAATGTTTAAGAAGCTTCATTTAAAATTAAATTAAAATGCAGAGCCCCCTGGACCGGTGGCCAGGACCCGGGCAGTGTGAGTTCCACTGAAAATCAGCCCCCATGCCGCCTTTGGCATGCGTGCCCTAGGTTGCCTACCCCTGCTATATATGCAGGGAATGAAAGTGGTAACTCAAATGAGACTATGGAAATGGAATATTGTTAATCAAACCAGTTTAGGGTAGAATAGTAGGGTCAGTCTGGTGGCTAGAGCTGGGCCAAATTATGGGCCTAAATTTTCAAGACTGTCTAACTTTCTGTGTGGTTAACTTGAGATACCTTAGAGAAGCCTGATTTTCTGAAAATCAGGTCCCTTTAAGATGTTTGAAGTTAGACTGCTAAAAAGTAAGGCATTCAAACTCATTTAGTCATTTTGAAAATTTTTGTCATAAGGTCTGTTCCCAGCTCTGCCACTTACTGAATGTGGAAACTTGGGCAAAACACTTCACCTTTCAGTGTCTCCATTTCATCATAATCATCATGGCAAATCCCAAAGGGATGTAGCCTCCTTGTAGAACAAGTGCTACTCAGATCGATTTTTAGCAAGGTCATCTTTAAAACAGGCATGATGATACCTCTTACCAGCCCAAGGATGCGTTGAGTCTTAATGTTGGTGAAGTGTTTTTGTGCCTTTTGTTGGAGGATCTCACAGTATAATACATAACTTTTATTGGATTTCCAAAACTGAACATTGATCTGTTCATTACAGCATACTTAGTCTATACCAGTGTTTCCCAAACTTGGGACGCTGCTTGTGTAAGTTTGTTTACCTGCCGCGTCCGCAGGTTTGGCCGATCACGGCTCCCACTGGCCTGGAGCAGCGAACCGCGGCCAGTGGGAGCCGCGATCGACCTAACCCGAGGACGCGGCAGGTAAACAAACCAGCCCAGCCCACCGGGAGCTTTCCCTACACAAGCAGCGTCCCAAGTTTGGGAAACACTGGTCTATACTATGTGTCTGACTAAGTGGGTATTCACCCACAAAAGCTTAAGTTCCAATACATTTGTTAGTCTGTAAGATGCCACAGGACTCTTTGTTGCTTTTTACAGATCCAGACTAACACGGCTACCCTTCTGATACTTAGTCTATACCAGTGTTTCCCAAACTTGGGACGCTGCTTGTGTAAGTTTGTTTACCTGCCGCGTCCGCAGGTTTGGCCGATCACGGCTCCCACTGGCCGCGGTTCGCTGCTCCAGACCAATGGGAGCTGCTGGAAGTGGCACGGGCCGAGGGACGTACTGGCCGCAGCTTCCAGCAGCTCCCATTGGCCTGGAGCAGCGAACCGCGGCCAGTGGGAGCCGCGATCGGCCGAACCCGAGGACGCGGCAGGTAAACAAACCAGCCCAGCCCACCGGGAGCTTTCCCTACACAAGCAGCGTCCCAAGTTTGGGAAACACTGGTCTATACTATGTGTCTGACTAAGTGGGTATTCACCCACAAAAGCTTATGTTCCAATACATTTGTTAGTCTGTAAGATGCCACAGGACTCTTTGTTGCTTTTTACAGATCCAGACTAACACGGCTACCCTTCTGATACTTAGTCTATACTTAGTTATACAAGAATAAATCTCAGTGATTTCATAGAAGTAAATAAAGTAAATACAATCTAAAACAAGTTGAATTGTCCAAGATTATTCTGTCCACTTGAATAATTTCATAAGAACATAAGAACAGCCATACTGGGTGATACAAAAAGTCCATCTAGCCCAGTATCCTGTCTTCTGTCAGTGACCAATGCCAGGTGCCCCAGATGGAATGAACAGAATAGGTCATCATCAAGCGATCCATTCCCCTGTTGCTCATTCCCAGCTTCTGGCAAAG